CTGTGAAGGTACGTCTCTTCTGTTGCACCTCCGCGGAGTAATCCTGGAAAATGGAGTCCTTGACGTTTTCATGGTGGAGATCCGGTCTATTCCTGGCGGCCCCCAGGATCATGTCTAGGTCTCAATAGTTAAGCCACTGAAGGGGAAATGGGCATGGAGGGACACCAGGTATAGGTGGGGCTTCTCTATCTGGCTATCTGATGGATGTGTCTGGGTTTGGCGATTGCCAGAACGGTACTTGCCTGACTGCATTGTGCCAAGTGTAAAGTTTGGTGGAGGGGGGATTATGGTGTGTGGTTGTATTTTAGGGATTTGGCTTTTGCCCCTTAGTTCCAGTGAAGGGAAATCTTAAGGTGTCAGCATACCAAGACATTTTGGACAATTTCATGTTCCCAACTTTGTGGGAACAATTTGGGGATGGCCCCTTCCTGTTCCAACATGACTGTGCACAAAGCAAGGTCCATAAAGACATGGATGAACGAGTTTGGGGTGGAGGAACTTGACTGGCTTGCACAAAGACCTGACCTCAACCCGATAGAACACCTTTGGGATGAATTGGAGTGGAGACTGCAAGCCAGACCTTCTCGTCCAACATCAGTGCCTGACCTCACAAATGCACTTCTGGAAGAATGGTCAAACATTCCCATAGACACACTCCTAAACCTTGTGGACAGCCTTCCCAGAATAGTTGAAGCTGTTATAGCTACAAAGGGTTGGCCAACTCAATATTGAACCCTACGAAATAAGACTGGAGTGCCATTAAAGTTCATGTGCGTGTAATGGCAGGCGTCCCAATACTTTTGGCAATATAGTGTGTGAAGTGAGTACACCCCTCACATTTTTGTAAATATTTTATTATATCTTTTCATGTGACAACACTGAAGAAATGAAACTTTGCTACAATGTAAAGTAGTGAGTGTACAGCTTGTATAAAATTTCTGTCCCCTCAAAATAACTCAACACACAGCCATTAATGTCTAAACTGCTGGCAACAAAAGTGAGTACACCCTAAGTGAAAATGTCCAAATTGGACCCAATTAGCCATTTTCCCTCCCCGGTGTCATGTGACTCATTAGTGTTACAAGGTCTCAGGTGTGAATGGGGAGCAGGTGTGTTAAATTTGGTGTTATCGCTCTCACTCTCTCATATTGGTCACTGGAAGTTCAGCATGGCACCTCATGGCAAAGAACTCTGAGGATCTGAAAAAAGAATTATTTCTCTACATAAAGATGGCCTAGGCTATAAGAAGATTGCCAAGACCCTGAAATTGAGCTGCAACACAGTGGCCAAGACTATACAGTGTTTTAACAGGACAGGTTCCAATTAGAACAGGCCTCGCCAGGGTCAACCAAAGAAGTTGAGTGCACGTGCTCAGTGTGATATCCAGAGGTTGTCTTTGGGAAATAGACGTATGAATACTGCAAGCATTGCTGCAGAGATTGAAGGGGTGGGGGGGTCAGCCTGTCAGTGCTCAGAACATACGCCGCACACTGCATAAAATTGGTTTGCATGGCTGTCGTCGCAGAAGGAAGCCTCTTCTAAAGATCATGTACAAGAAAGCCCGCAAACAGTTTTGCTGAAGACAAGCAGACTAAGAACATGGATTACTGGAACCATGTGCTGTGGTCTGATGAAACCAGGATAAATTTATTTGGTTCAGATGGTGTCAAGCGTGTGTGGTGGCAACCAGGTGAGGAGTACAAAGACAAGTGTGTCTTGCCTACAGTTAAGCAGGGTGGTGGGAGTGTCATGGTCTGGGGCTGCATGAGTGCTGCCGTTACTGGCGAGCTACAGTCATTGAGGGAACCACAAATGCCAACATGTACTGTGACATACTGAAGCAGAGCATGATCCCCTCCCTTCGGTGACTGGGCTGCAGGGCAGTATTCCAACATAATGACCCCCAAACACACCTCCAAGACGACCACTGCCTTGCTAAAGAAGCTGTGAGGGTAAAGGTGATGGACTGGCCAAGCGTGTCTTCAGATCTAAACCCTAATAAGCATCTGTGGTGCATCCTCAAACAGAAGGTGGAGGAGCGCAAGGTCTCTAACTTTTGTGAGATACTGTTTACCTGTGTGTGTGTGTATGTATGTATGTATGTGTGTGTGTATGTGATATATATATATATATATATATATATATATATATATATATATATATATATATTTTTTTTTTTTTTTTTTTTTTTTTTGCTTATGCAACATTTAGGGGGAGGGAAGAAAAAGTTTACCTAGAGATACACTTTAATGTGGAATTTCACTTTCTTGAACAACATTAAGTATATCATGTTTACTTGTTTCAACTTTTCTTCTGCATGTCTTCAGTTACTTCCTGGTTTCTATGGCTAGGCAATTTATATAATAAAATGCCAATTCCAAAAAAGTTGGGACACTTTTTGTAAAATATACATAAAAAGAGAATGCATTGATTTACAAATCTTATAAACCCATATTTTATTCACAATAGCAAAAATATCAAACATTTAAACTGAGAAATGGTCATTTGAAATTGATGATAGCTACATGTTTCAAAAACATTGTGACAGGGCCATCTTTACCATGGTGTAGCATCCCCTTCTTTAACAACACTCTGTAAACTTCTGGGAACTGAGATCAGTTGCTGAAGTTTTAGGAGAGGAATATTGTCCCATTCTTGCCTGATACAGGATTCTGACAGTTAGCTCAACATTCTTGGTTCTTCTTTGGTGTAAGATGCTCCAAATCTCTTCAGTTGGTGAAAGGTCTGACCTACAGATTGGTCTACTACAAAGCCATTTTGTTCTCATAGAGGCTGTATGCAGTTTAGCATTGTCCTGCTGAAATATGCAAGGCCTTCCATAAACAAGACATCGTCTGGATGGTAGCATATGTTGCTCTAAAACCTGGATATATTTTTTTAGCATTGATGGTTCCTTCCCGGATGTGCCAGCTGCCCATTCCATACGCGCTGATGCGCCCCTATAACATCAGAGATGCAGGCTGTTGAACGGAGTGCTGATAACTAGCTGGAAGGTCCATCTCTTTAATCCAGAGGACGAGGCTCTCATGGTTTCTCAATAGAATATCAAATTTTGATTCGTCTGACTATAGAACAATTTTCCACTTTGCAGCAGACCGTTTTAAATGAGCTTTGGCCCAGAGAAGACTGGTGTGTTTCTTTATTATATTCAGATATGGCTTCTTCTTTACATGAAAGAGCTTTACCTTGCATTTTTAGATGGCACAGTGAACTGTGTTCACAGACAGTGATTTTGGAAGTATTCCTGAGCCCATGTAGTGATGTCTATCACAGAATCATGCCTGTTTTTAATGTAGTGCCATCTGAGAGCCTAAATATCATGGGCATCCAGTTTTGTGTTTTGGCCTTCTTGAAATCTTTTGATGATATTATGTACTGTAGATGATGATATATTATGTCTTTGCATTTTTTATGTTGAGGAACATTCTGAAATTGTTCAACAATTTTTCAGATGCGGCTTTTCGCAGGTTGGTGAGCCTCCACCCATCTTTACTTCTGAAACTCTGACTCCCTAAGATGTTCTTTTTATACCCAATCATGTTACTGCCCTTTTGCCTATTAACCTATAATTAGTTTAAAAATGTTCTTCCAGCTCTTCCATGTTAGTACAACTTACTTTGCCAGATTTTTTTTTTCTTGTCCTGTCCCAACTTTGAGACATCTTGCTGCCATCAATTTCAAAATTATACATTTTCTCAGTTTAAACATTTGATATGTTTTTTTTATAAATAAATAAAATACGGGTCTTTGAAATTTGCAAATCATTGCATTCTGTTTTTAATTTAGATTTTACACAGCATCCCAAATTTTTTGGGAATTCAAGTTGTACATACCAGGAGTCTTCAGGAGGAGGAGATGAGGTTTTTTCTCAGGTAAATACACCCTCCTGCCTGCATGCCCGAGCCAAGGACAAAATAAAATAAATAAATGCTACATGAATCGTCTGCCCTTACTCAAGATGGCCACAGCAAGAAATGCTAGGGGGTGTTTTTCAAAGTGATTTCTCAGCAAAATAAAGCATTGAGACATGGATGGATGGGTGAGTGTGCTTTGAATATTAGAAATTAATTAAATAGCATTTTTAATTCAGATGCATTATGGTGCTCAGATGCAACTGGTTTCACTTTAAAGGTAATAATTTTGTTTATAGAATTGTTATTCTGAACTTCGTTCTAATCCAGTTTGATAGAACCTGTGGGAGGTTGATCATGTGACGGGTTCTCAAGAACTGGGCTCAGACCAAACCCAACTCGTCTTTACTCTTCATGTGGGATAAAAGGTTTAAAGGAAACTTGCACTGAGAAAATACATAGGTTTCCACTGTGTGAACAATAGGAATTAATTGTTTAAATTTTCTGTGAAATTTTAAAGTGGCTGTGAACCTCAGGCATGAAACTTGAACAAAACAACCCCCTATAGTGTGCACTTGTTTTAATTAAGAGCACTAAGTGTCATTTCTGCTTTGTTCCTCTGCTGTCAGCATCATTAATCACTTCTGGCAGGTTTCCTGAAACCAGAGAAAAGTGGTGACACAGGAGAGACCTTCAGCAGATTGACAGCCTCCGCTCTGTTCCTGTGAGCTGTGTGGAAGGGGTGTGTCTGTTCCCTCCAATCAGCCCTTAGAGCTCTCCTCACTGAGCTCTGTGGAGTGTGACTTCAGCTCTCTGCCCCCTTTTTTCTGAACTCTCAGACAGGCTTATAAATTCAACACTTTGAATAGGTGTAGAGAAGAGAAGACTGCCGATAAACGGGTACAACTTATGTAGGAGGATTTGTTTCATCTCTGTGTATCACCTGAGGCCAGTCACTTCACTGGATATACGTAAGGGTTTACAACCACTTTAAACCTGATTGATTACTGCTGACAACAACTTTGTACTCATTACTCTTCTACTATTTTATGGAATCAGTTCCTTTGTCGCAATGTAATTGTTGAACAATGTAACTATTTTTCCTCTTTTCTTTTGGTTACCTCTTAGGAAGACGAATGTGCAGGATGCACTGACGGCACTTTCAAGGGGACAAGATATTTTACCTGTGCCCCTAAAAAAGCACTTTTTGTGAAACTGAAGAGCTGCAGGCCAGACTCGAGGTTCGCATCACTTCAACCGGTCTCCAATCAGATTGAGCGCTGTAACTCCCTAGGTAACACCCTTCAAGACACCCAACTGGATGAGCTCCACTATGACTATTTGTTTCTAAAAATGCCATATAAATATACCCAGTATAATTTTAGAAAACCTAGAACGTGTGCTCATTCCTTTGTAAGGCACGTGTATAGATTTATTAAAAGTTTTGTCCCTGTAGATTGAGGTCACACCTTTTCCAGTAACATATTGGGAGCTTTACTGGCTCTGCCATTGCTCAAGCAACTTCTTCTACTACTGTTTTATTTACAACTTTCTTTTCTTAATAGCTCCTCTGTGTAATCGTAAAAACCTGGACCTTTTGATCTATACTATCTAATCTTGCAGGACACTTGTGGGATTTTAACTGGTTTTCTTTGGTTAATTTGACTGATCTGATTGAGAAGTGTCACTAGGGGTGGTTTAGTTGTCCATAAGGAAAGATATATTGTCATAATTGTTAAAAGTATTAATAATAGTATTAACAGTAAATTTAAATTTTGTTCTGTTGTAAGCTTTTGGCGGCTACTTAAGTGAAGTAGTTGAAGGGAACACTCCTCCACGAACAGAAAAGGAAGGCTTAGAGGTAATGATTGGAAAGAAGAAAGGTATCCAGGGCCATTACAACTCCTGCTACCTTGACTCAACCTTGTTTTGGTGAGTAGATAAAGTTCTTATATCCATTATATGCTTTATGATTGTACACATCTGATAACATTTTAAAACTGCACTCCTCTTTTCATACAGCTTATTTTCCTTCAGTTCTGTGCTAGACTCTGTCCTTCTGAGACCGAAAGAGAAAACTGATGTGGAATATTACAGTGAAACACAAGCACTTCTTAGGACGGAGGTTGTGAATCCTCTGAGAATGTAGGTTAAATCACAGCCTCACATTTAATAACATGCATTGCTGATACATGTGTGATCCAGATATATAGTGTTTTAGCAATGCTTCAAAGAAGGCATAATCTGTTATCATATTTGCTTCTACTGTTTCTTGCCAGTTACAGAAACATATATGGTGTAACCATATAAAGATGGATTTACTGGGGATAAGTATAGTGTAATGCAGTTGGCACTATATAAATCTTGAATTATAATAATGAAAACTATTACCTCAGTCTAATTACCACCTTAGGCTTACAGTACAAAGTACTTCATTTTAACCATCCTGATTGAGAACAGATGTCATAGCATAATTGCTGTCACCTTATCAAAGTGGTACTTAAAAAAAAAAAAAAAAAAAAAAATAAAATGGCGAACAGGCAGGATTTTTTAATACAGATACATATTAACATAATGTCTCTTCTGCATTAAAGTTTCTTATCTGCTTGTCCACCCTGTACACTGAGTTGCGCATGTGCAGCTTTGTGTACAATTTTTGCAGAGCTGAGATGAATGACATCATTTCAGCCCTGCCAATGAAAATGGGAAAAGAACGGTACCGGGAATCAGACAGGCCGAAGATATTAGCAACCTGCAGGGAGCTCCAGGACAGTGCAGTGATGGTGTGAAGGTGAGTATAGTTCTGTTTAAACTAGAACAGTGGCTGGCATGTTTCAAGCAAATTGGCTACACAATTAGTCGCAAATCAAGCTCCGTCTCCTTTAGCAGAGACTCTGCGATAAGTTTACAGACCTGTGCTTCTCTATTCCTAGGCAGTCAAGTGCCATCATTTGCAGACTTCTGGGACAGATTTAATACTGATGATGAGAAACGGACACATAATTAAGTCATCAAGGTCATGTTCCAAATGGGTTCAACTTTAGAGTAGCTAAAGAAATTCATGACTCAGCCTGTAACTTTGTAACAAATCTGTCTCATGATGCATCTCACTGTTTAGCATTGCTTTGCCATGCAACAGAATTGATAAACGTCTACCAGTATGTCTTCTTTGCCCCTCTTTTATATGGTTTCACTTTGTTAGTACGGCCTAAGTTCGCTTTATTTTGTCGCTAAGCTTTATCAACTGCCATCCCTGTGTCCTGTGAAAGTGATCCAACTGGCCATTAAGATGTGAGTGATTAAGTGAAATGGCAGTTGATGGTGCTTAGTCATGAAATCCAGGAAAGACAGGTCATTAACAAAATAAAGCTAAATCAGAGCGAGGAAAAGAAGATTATTTAAATAACAGGTACCTTGTGGTATCTGCTCCCTGGCAGCACCAAAGTATTGATAATAATTGTTCATAAGCTCAGTTTGCTGAGATATAACAAATTGTATTTGCCATTGTATTTGCTGACAATAACAATCACATAGCTTAAAATAATGATTGGTGCGGCAAATAAAATGTGTTATAACAGGTGATTGCAGCATATATGTGTGCATTGTTGTTTTTTAAGCAATGGCAGTACATTAGTTATACATAACATATGATAAGTAAAGGTTTACTGTGCTGAGAAAGACTATGTGAATACAATATCATAATAATAATGGCAAGCTCAGTCATTTTGTTTTTTTCTTTCTTGTACATTGAGTTGCACAGGAAGTCCTAAACCTTCATGTTATAGTGCTGCCTACAACAGAAATGGACACGGGCAACAAAACAAACTGTTATCACAGAATAACCCTGCCCATAACCAGCATGCCTCAGTTTTAGCTAGTATCCTCAGGAGAGTGGAGTGTTGGTGTCCTCAGGACAGTGTTCAGCTTTGCTGTTCTCTGTTCTGTTGCGAGATTTGTTTTACTACCACAGCTACTGGTAGATTCATACCGGATATGTTGAATCCAGGAAATTTCTCCAGTCAACCAATGAGCACAGGGTTTTCCAGTTTACCCTCGTGTTCTGTCTGCGACAGCCCTTCATTTCCTAAAGTTCCTCCAATTGTTTACAGTTACTGGTAGATTCAAGTCTGATGTGGAATGCCATATAAAGCTCTCCAGTTAGCCAAGCAGTGCAGGTTTCTAGTTCTCTCTTCATTATCTATACAAATAATGAACTCTGTGATAGTCCTGCAGTTCACAGTTACTATTCGTCTTTGTTCTAGTTCACACTGTACTCCGCTATTCAGGTCAAGCCAGAATGTCTGGAAATTCCTTATGAAGTTATTGGTCCAGAGCTGAGAGAGTTTTTGCTATGCCAATTTCTGCAGCTCACTGTTGAGCTGTTGTTAGTACCTAGCAGGCTTATGCTAGATTGAGGTTTCCTACACTTGTGGTATTTGCTACGGACGCAACTGTAGCTGACTGGCCAGTGTCTGAACTAGAGGTCTCATCCTGCAAGGAACCATTTCTGGTTTTGCATCGGGACAAGGTGATATGCAGGACTTCATTTTTGCCTAAGGTAGTTTCTGCCTTTCACATTTTACCTCTCAGCCATGGCTTCTTTCAAGTTCCACCTTTTTCTTTTAAGGCACATTCTACTAGATCTGTGGTCTTTTTGGCATCAATATTCCCAGATTTGCAAGGCCACAGCCAGCTCTTCTTTTTTTTTGTTTTCAAATTTCTACATGGTGGATGTTCCGTCCTCATCGGATGCCAGCTATGAGCTTACATTCCTTTAGGTCGCTCTGAGAGAACTGTAGGTAGTACTCAATTGCCTGTTTTCCTGGGCCCATTGGCATTTGTATGCCCACTCTCCCATTGGATGCTTTTGGATGGGCCAAAGGTTAATTAATTTGTTTACCCTCAATAGACAAGCAAGAAAAAGATTTTATGGTATGTACAAAAATCATATTTTCTTTGTCTATTGAGGGACATAGGTTTCACCCCTTTGTGTTTATATTCATGCTCTCAGTACTACTTTGCTACACAACTGAGGTATACTGGTTGTGGGTAGGATTATGCTTTTCTGGCTGACAGGTTTTTTTTTTTTTTTTTTGCCAGTGTCCATTTCTCCTCTAGGCAGCAGTAAGACCCAAAGGTTGAAGACTTCCTGCATCCCTCAATGGACTCCCCCCAAAAAAAGGATTTTACAGTGAATACAAAAATTATTTTTTTTTGATAGGCACCATTTTTAATTTGTTTATTTATCTTGTGTCTCATGTTTACCTTCAGATATGGATATGTATGTGCTACACAAAAATAATGAAACTGAGGAAAATTTTGGAGAAAGTGGAAGCTGCATCAGGATTTACATCAGAAGAAAAAGGTTTGGGTCTGTTAATGTTATATAAGACTGCCATGGTTATTTCAGCTACATTTCAGCAGCACAGCTGTGGCCTCTTAGATTGAGAACAGCCTCTTTTTCAGGGGACGTTAAGTGGACTTATTGCTGCTGTCAATTTAGGAAAATGTTTGTGATCTCTCTTGAGTACTCCTACGTTTCTATTTAAAAGTTTCTGAAACATTTGGTGAGGAGAGAAGATGGCAAGCAGATTATCGATTTATAACTAGCAGGAAAAGTGCATTTGGAATGGGTAATTCTTTGGAAGCATGCTACCAAACACTGGAACATACAGATATAAAGTGATAAAAAAAGAGTTGTCAGGGAGCTGAAGTTGCACTCTGCAAAGCTCAGTGAGACCTCATTGGAGGGAAGGGACACACCCTCCTTCACACAACACACAGGAACAGAGCTGAGGTGGTCAATCACAGGCTGTGTGCTGGAGATTCCTTCCCTGTCACCTTTTTACCTCCTTGGTATAAGAGAAACTTGTCAGAAGTGACCCATCCAGATAGCAGAGGAACAAGGCAGCAGAGAGAAATTACACTTAGTGCTCTGAATTGAGACAGGTACATGCTATAAGGGATATGCTTTGTTCATATTTCATGTCTGAGGTTTACAACAAGCACTAGCTGATCTCTGCAGCTGCAGACAAAATGACCACAATATTCATCCTTAAAGTTCACAGTAGAACCACTGATATAAAGTTGATTCCTTAAATAGCTAAGCTTCCTCTCCCAGAGCTAAACTTCTGGCAGAATGATTTTAGAAAACCTGAGCTCAGCTCCCTGTCGTTCCCATTCCTCCAACAGTGACTCGGCAGCTGTCCAGCCTTCTAATGTTTAATGCAAACAGAAAGCAGGTGCTTTGAGAGGAGGGGGAGCATAGCTCTTATCCTAGTTGCTGAGAAAACAACCTGAGCTTCATTTCTTCTGCCGTGAACATTTGAGGATTAATTGATCCAAAGTGCAAGCATCTGCAGAGGTCAGTGAGATTGCTTGTTTTTTTTTTCCAAATATTTCTTTATTAACGTATGAGTACACATACAAATACGGATAACACAAGTTAGATTCAGTGTATTTACCATTACAAGTATGCTTATAGAATAATAAGCTATGAACAATACATCAGAACTCGAAGCCTATATTGTGGCAAAAAAAGTACAAGATTATACGTTTCTTTTTTTTTTTTTTTTTTTTTTTAAATAAATATAAGGAAGGGGAAACAGATGGGTGGAATGAGGGAGGGGAAAGGGGGGACAGGGTAGAATGAGGGTTGGGGGGGGTAGGAAGGAGGGGGAAAGAGTGGGTTAGAACCCAGGAGTAGAATGTAGCAGCTAACATTCCGTGGATTAGACAGCATAATCATTGAAAATTAAGATAGGTAGGTGTTTATATATCAGTTAGAGTCAACAGTACATTATGGGTCGTTTAACCATAATGACCATAACTTTCGGAACTTAGAAATCGTTAGGTTAGTAATAGATAACATTTTCTCCATTTCACATTGGTGGTTAAGCGTGGATATACAGTCTAAGACAGAAGGGTTTTGATTTGAGTTCCACAATCTAGTGATTGTATGTTTAGCTGCAAGAAATATGAGAACTAACCTAGTGTTGGGAGGGAAATTGGGATGCCCAGGTGTAATAGAGCTAAGGCAGGGTCAGGGTCTATCGGAGCTCTTGTTATCAGAGATCCTATGTGGAAGATTTAGTTCCAATAGGACCGTAAGAATTTTCATTGCCACAAAACATGGTATAGAGAACCGGTTTCTCCACAATTCCTCCAGCACTGGGCATTGTGAGTAGGATAAAATTTAGAGAGTTGTATCGATTTTTTTTATATGATTCCAAGTGGGTAGCGCAGTGGGAGGCGGAGTATGTAAAAGAAAGGCTCTTTGCCAAGTTTCCTCAGAAAAGGCAGTACCTAATATGCGTTCCCATTTTAAGATAGTATTTGTTTTAGAAAAGCAATTGGTCTGATTGTACCAATTGTAAAATAGTGAAATGCCTTTTATAGAGTATGAAGATTCCTGAAGGAATCTATTAAGCGGAATAGGTAGCGACAGGTGCAAGGGTATTGGGTGAGCATGGATAAAATCCCAGATTTGTAGATAGGTAAAAAAGGAGGAAGGGGGAAGGGAGAAATGTTCTCTGTGTTCATAGGTGTGGAGGGAGTCATTATCATGTATATCCACAAAGTATTTGATACCATAGGATTGCCATAGAGTGAGGTTGATATGCGGGATAAAGTGGTATAGAACCGAGAGGGGGACTAGAACCTTCTGTGTGAGTGTATTTGATAAGGAAGGAGGATTAAAATCTGACCATGCTTTAAAGGTTGTGAGTACTGGAAGGATCTTGGTAGGTGAGTACAGAGCTTCTAGTTTGATGGCGATTAGTAGAAAATATCCTACTGGAAGAGTGGAGGATTCTATGTGTGCTCAAAGTTTGTGGTTTGGGAGAGTCCACCAGTGTTTAAGTTGGTCTAGAACACATGCTTTGTAATAATTAAGTATATTAGGTAAACCCATACCTTCATTTTTCTTGTGTCTCATGAGTACCGGATGAGTATCTGGGGGGTTTATGTTTCCATACGAACTGGTTAAAGGTTTTTTGAAGTTGACTTAAGAATGCATTTGAGTGTGGAATGGTGAGAGTGCGAAACAAATATAATAACTTCAGAAGGATTATCAATTTTAGGGCCGCTATTCTACCAGAAGTAGATAAAACCTGCGTGCGGAGTTTGTCCAAGAGTTTGGGAAGCGAGGATAAAAAGAATTGATAATTGTAGTGGAATAGTTGAGTTGGAGACTCTGTTAATTGTATTCCCAAGAAAGGGATAGAGGAAGAAGTCCATTTAAAAGAGAACTGTGTAGATAAGGTGTATTTTAGGTAATGAGGGACATTAATCCCTAGGATTTGGGATTTTATTTGCGTTTAATTTGTAATAAGACACCTCGCTAAATTGGTCTAAAATACGTTGTTGTTCCAGGAGTGATATCTCGGGTTTGGAGAGTAGTAGCATGATATCGTCCGCAAAAAGACTTGTGTTTGCTAGCCAAATGGAGACCCGTGATGTCAGGGTTACCTCTTATTTTTTGCACAAGGGGCTCCATAAATAAAGTGAATATGATAGGTGAAAGGGAGAACCCCTGTCTAGTGCCATTGTATATAGTTATGAGGTTAGACAATAATCCTGAAACGAGAACACTGGCTGATGGATTGGAGTAGAGGGACATAATGGCGGAGTGCATCCAGCCCGTAATACAGAATTTGGAGAGTACTTGTTGGAGAAAGCCCCAGTCGACCCTATCAAACACCTTCTCCACATCCAAGGAGAGGAGCAGAGAAGGCGTTTGGGAAGCCCCAGTGGAGGTTATTAAGTTGATTAGACGTCTAGTGCCGCCTGGGGCTTGACAGCCTGGTACAAAGCCCACCTGGTTTGGGTGGATAAGGTGGGGCAGAACTTTGTGTAGTCTTAAGGCAAGTAGTTTGGCAAATATTTTAACATCAGAATTTAAGAGGAATATTGGCCCATAATTGGCAGGTTTCGTTGTATCCTTATTTGGTTTAGGAATGGCAACATCACTGCGTGCAGCATTTCAGAAGGGAATAAGCCTGAGTTGGATGCAAGATGGAAGACTGACAGAAGGTGAGGCGTTATTTTGTTAGATAAACATGTATAGTATTCATTAGTAAACCCATCATCCCCAGGGAATTTGTGGTTAGGGGCATGTATTATAATGTCGAGAATTTCTGAGGATGTAAATGGTTTCAAGATAGACACTAACTTGTCTGGGGTGAGTGAGGGTAAATTCACGGATTGGAGGAAAGTAGAAATGAGAGCTGATGTTGGTTGTGGGGTAGTAGTGTCATTGCGTAGGTCATAGAGTGACTGATAATAGTTGCTAAATGCATTAGCAATATCTTTGGAATTCTAACATTTACAGTTAGAGTGAGAGTATGTAATAGAGGAAGCTTGTTGTTTGGTTTGTTGAGCTTTGACTTGTCTGGCTAGTTTGGCGCCAGCTTTATTGCTTAAACCATACGAATTGGCTTTTAGAAAATTAAGGTGGTTTTCGTGTTTGTGAAGAAGCCAACGTAAAGATTGTCTATCTCTAAGTATGGCTTGAGAGATTTGGGGATCTGGGTTAATCTTATTTGCTTGTTCTTGGGAAGATATGGAATGAAGTAAGTCTTCAATCTTCCTCGTTCTCTGTCTCTTAACCAAGGCTGCTAATTTGATCAGAATGCCTTTCATATAAACTTTATAGGTGGTCCAAAGTGTAAATCTATTAGTTTCAGGTCTGTCGTTATTCTGGAAAAAGTTATGATGCTCTTGTTTGATCTGTTGTTACGGTTGTTTGTTCTCTAAGAGTGAGGAATTGAGTCTCCAGATGGATGGAGGGGTATTGCGGAGGTTGTCCTCAAACTTAAGAGTAATGGGAGCATGATCAGACCAAGCGATTGTAGCAATGTCGAATCGTAAGACATTTTGTAAAGAAAATGTATCATCTAGAAAAAGGTCAATACGAGAATAGGATGAGTGCGGTGAGGAAAAAAACGTCCTTTTCCGAACCGTGGAAGCATCACCATACATCATATAGGTTATACTTATTGAGTAGCAAAGATATAGATTTTGTGATTGTACGGATATGACGAAAGGATGTTGAGTCTTTGATTGCTATCAGGACTCCACAGGTTTTTTGGGATCATTAGCCATATATAAATGAGAGAAGTGTTGGAACGATAGATAAGGGCATTATGAGGCCACAAAGTGAGTTTCTTGAACCATCAAGACATCAGCTTTTAAGGAGTGGGTCTCCTTTAGAAGGATGTTCCTTTTGAAGGGACTGTTAAGGCCCTTGGCGTTTAGCATGCCGCTGAAAATAAAGTCCCTAGAGGAGGAGTCATTGCTATAGTATTTCGCTGGTAGAGGTCCTGGTTAACGTTGGTGTAGTAGAGGGTGAAGGGACTCTGAGTAGTGTGGTCCGTAAGTAGTGGAGAGTGTTGGTAGTCGTGGTGAGAGATAGTCCCATCTTCAAAATTATGGGCATTATGGTGGTTGGTTCTTCTTGCGAGTCCATGAGAGGTTATCGGGCGAGGGATATAATCTTGGAGTTTCAATAGAAGATGCTGAGCTGCTTTGAAAACCAGGAGGGGTAGCAAAAGGAGGAGAAAAAGATGCATATTAAGAAAATCCCTGTATTAAAAGACAGGGAAAATGGGCAGCTGAGCTGCTTGCAATTGGGGCAAAAACAGGGTAGTATCTTGGATACCTTTCTGTAAGAGGAACTGAGCGTATGAGCTCCCTGCTTCTCACTAGAAATGTTATGTAGCCGTAGTGGGGAGATTCTTGTGTCCTTAAGGGGACATCTATGCTCCTAGGACCAATCTGTGTCCAATATCTCAGGTGGGGTGGGAGTATCGAGCTGAGCTCCAGCGGGGAGTAAGCGCCATTGCTTGAGCAATTGAAAACCATTTTCCACACTGTACAGTATATTGGAATTTTCTTACCATTCCATGTATCGATTAATCGAATCCCCATCTAGAACATTATAGTACTGTAAAGCTTTGGTTAGTGGTGCAAGTTTCTTTGATTGCAGTTTTGTGTATAGAGAGATCCCAGCAAACTCGTCTGATCTTACTGGGTTTTGTTTTGTTTGGCGGCCGCCATGACTCTGTCTTTTGACATGGATATAATGGATCCTCGCCAAGGTATCTCTAAGTGCTGTATCTGGAAGGAAGTTAAGCTTAGGGATACGGTGCGCTCTGTCAGTACATAGTTTAATGTCGCTCAGAGTAGGGAATAAAGCTTTCATAAGGCGCTGGATATATGTGGTTAACTGAAGTGGTGCGACTGATTATGGAATACCTCTAAACTTTATGTTGCGTCTTGAGTGGTCTTCCAAATCAGCAACCTTGTTATGTAATTATTGAATCTCAGACTCTTGATGAGCGTATGCATCCACTAAGTCGTTATGGGCCGAATAGAGATCCACCATTTTAGATTCCATATGATTTATCTTGTCTTCATGGGATTTTACAGTGTCCATTAGAGAGGCAAATATATCTGAAAAATCTGCCAGGAGAGATCTTTTCATAGAGAGTAACATTTTTAATTCTATTTTCAAATATAGGCTTATCATTAGCAAGAAATGCTTCAATAGGGTGTTCATACATAATGTGCTCTGAAGATACTGAGGGGAAAACAGGCTGCTGCTTGGTAGTGTTAGGGTCATCCTCCCTGCACTGTTCAGATTTAGCTGGGCTGCGGGTGGTAGGTGTATCAGGAGGGGAACACTCACCCAGGCTCCTGTGTGGCTGTAGTCCTTGCTCGGTCCGCTGTGAGGCCACATGGTGCTGTGGCGGTGCACTGGGATTAGGGTCGGTGCCATCTTACTTCGCTCTGTGTCCTGCTGCAGAGTAGAAGTCAGTGAGGCATTGAGGCTGTTTGGACTGTTTCCTCCACTTGGACATAGCGCAGGTGCAGTCCGGAGAAGCAAGGAAAGAAGAAACGGGTGATAGGAATCTCCCCTTGATGCTGCAATAGCCGCTGTGAGAAGGGAGACAGCAGGATCTCCGGATCAAATGGCCATCTTCCCTGACGGCCGGACATGCCCCTCGATATTATGTTTTGAAGCTCATTTTATGGTTAAGAATAGGAGAATACTTGACTGTCTATAGCCTGGCCTCAGCTTTAAAGTATAGACACATTTTCTAAAAAGCACACTAATTCACTCTCCCTAGTCCTCCTAAAATCTAAACTAGAAACGTCTACCACAGCTGCATTCTTATCTAAAGAAGATGGCTACAGCTTACTCCTAGCTGCAGCTTTGTTTTGTTTCTTTACTAGTTCTGGCTGCATCTGCACATTGAATTCTTATAGACCTGTATAGAAATTATATTTAGTGATTAATAAAAGAGAGAAAATAGGTGCAGCGCTATAATCAGAATACAGAAAAAAAAAAATTCTCTATAAATTATATATGCATTTAAATGCCAATGATCAAAGAGATGCAAGATGTGATACAATGGTAAACAGTGCGCTAATCAGTAGGAAATGAAAAGTCCTCATCCCAGATCAGTGGTTGTGAGAGATGAAAAATCCTAGGAACAGATAGAGTGCGCACTCACCAGAGGTGCGTTTAAATGACGCATGTAGAGAAGTATATTCAGCAAATTCTCTCCACCTTCAGGGCTCTGGTCAGATCGCACTCCGTACTATCCTCTGTTTCACCACGAAGAACAGTAGCCAGGATTCATCAAACCGTGTGGGCGTCCGAAATACTCCTTAGTCCAGATAGGCACTGTGGGAGGTGGTACTCTCAAAGAGAGCCCAATAAAGGACGCCACATAGTGTGATGCTGTATGACTTGGGTTTATTAGTCAAAAAAAGGGGTGAAACAACAAAAAGTACTGACCATAAATGTTGGCCACATATAGTGGCTAGATGTCCATAAGCTGTAGCCCCCCTGACGCGTTTCGTGCGATGCACGTCCTCAGAGGGTCAAGCCCTGACCCTCTGAGGACGTGCATCGCTTGAAACGCATCGGGGGGCTACAGCTTATGGACATCTAGCCACTATATGTGGCCAACATTTATGGTCAGTACTTTTTGTTGTTTCACCCCTTTTTTTTGACTAATAAACCCAAGTCATACAGCATCACACTATGTGGCGTCCTTTATTGGGCTCTCTTTGAGAGTGCCACCTCCCACAGTGCCTATCTGGACTAAGGAGTATTTCTGACGCCCACACGGTTTGATGAATCCTGGCTACTGTTCTTCGTGGTGAAACAGAGGATAGTACGGAGTGCGATCTGACCAGAGCCCTGAAGGTGGAGAGAATTTGCTGAATATACTTCTCTACATGCGTTATTTAAACGCACCTCTGGTGAGTGCGCACTCTATCTGTTCCTAGGATTTTTCATCTCTCACAACCACTGATCTGGGATGAGGACTTTTCATTTCCTACTGATTAGCTCACTGTTTACCATTGTATCACATCTTGCATCTCTTTGATCATTGGCATTTAGATGCATATATAATTTATAGAGAATTTTTTTCTGTATTCTGAATATAGCGCTGCACCTATTTTCTCTTTTTATTGATTATTGTAAGGTTGGTTGGTTACCTTTTTTGGTGTTCTAGCTGCTTATACACTCCTGTCTGTAGCGCTCGCTATACCATTTTCACATATATTTAGTGATTGTTTACATAAAAGACCATTAATATGATATTTAGAATATATAGGTAAATCTTATCAGCTAGTCTATTTGAGTGTGGCTAACGTAGGTTGCATAACAGTGGCTAGATTTTAAATAATGAAAGTAGACATTGATGAAATGCAGCTGCTTGTAAGTCAATACAGTCATGTGGATCACTTCTGCACTATGCTAAGTAACTCAGCCCAGCAGTGATTTGTGACATTGCAAGGAGTTTTAAAAGATCTACAGCTCCACTTTTATCTTCATCAGATTTTCTATAACGTGTTTGTTTTCCCAACAGATCCTGAAGAATTTTTGAATATCTTGTTCCATCATATATTAAGAGTAGATCCCCTCTTAAAAATAAGGTAACATTTCTTTAAAGTAAGAAACAATGTATGGTGATAAAAGCAATACAATGTTTATATTAGCCTAACAATTACAGTAAAGGGAACAAATTGTGCTTTCCATTTATTTCTTATGGTTAGGTTTTTAAAAAATAAAAATGTCAACAGTATTAGTCTAATACATTTGCAATATTTTGAATGTATAGTTTGTATTTATTTTAATGATGAAAAGTAAACCTTTTTTCTTATTAGATGCCAGAAATGTAGGCTTGCAAAGTTACTGAAAGGTTCACTTTAAATTTAGCAACAATTATGTGTTATGTATCTACCTAAACAATTTAACAAACAATTTAATTTAAATGCAGCCCTTGCACTATATAGTTGTGGTTAGACATATAAAAGATTTTGTCATCAGATGCTAATTTGTGTGGCTAGTGTTGGGAATTCTCCAACAAGATCTCTACTACACAATCCCTTGATGACACAACTAATAGGGGTCTTCACCTTTTTGTTTTGGTTTTTTATTACATTCTTTTTTATTCATTCTACACCTTTTAAAGACACAACAGAAGCTGGTAAACTTCCCATTCCTAATAGAATATTGGAGAGTCCATGCCATGCATAGCTGAAAACTTCAGTAGAGAGACCTTCAGATTCAGTTGGTTCTTTAGCTGACAGATATTCATCTTAGAAGTTCCAGCCATTTTATTGAAAAAAAGTTCTTTCTTGTCCATTGAGCAACACACAAATCTGACCTTTTGGCTAGCTACTCTGAGGACTTCAGAACCTTTAACAACAAAAGCCCTGTTTGATGCCAACTCTCTCAAATCCCTGATGGACCGACCTGCACCCGAGGAGTCGCAGTTGTCTGCTATTACTCTCAGACTGAAATAATCTTCTGCTCTTACTGGCGCAGTATGCTCCACTTTAAAACTGATGGAATAGCCCATAGCCTTTACCGGTGCTGTTCCCACTCACTCCTTTAGGGCTCCTAAAATTGGCAAGACCTTTCTGGTACACCTGCTGTTTGCTGTCTTCCTATATGAAGACTTGAAAAATTCAGATCACCCAGTTGTACCTCCCAAACATCTGCCAGCTATGTACTCATTTAAGGAGGATTTTGTCAAAATGTTGGCTGCCCCCTCTGTGGATCTGGCAGTCTCCAGCCTTAACAAAGATTCCACCATCCTAATGAAGAATGCACCTATGTTTAAGGATGCCAACACGTGACTAAAGGTCCTTTTCTAGAATCTTTTATTTAATAAGCAGTCCCTCGCCGTACAGCCCTGGCGGATCTTCTGGAGGTAGCATCTAACCCATCTTGGATCTTAAGGCCCTAAATGTCTTTATTTAGGCCCATAAATTCTGCATGTAATTAACTATGTCATAGTCTTCCTTCAGCAGGGAGATTGTCTAGCTTCTGTGGACATGAAAGATGCGTATGGTGGACAACTCTGACCTCCCAGACCTTACAGAGGTTTGGTTGTTTCCTGAAAACCTGTGTGCTGGGATGTCTGACTCCTGTGCATGCGCAGAAGTGACGTCACCCCGTACTGGCCATGGAAGATGGTCAAATACTGGCATCCAAAAGAAGATGCCAGTGAGGGATGGAGATCTTTGAAGGAAAGGTAAATTTGCCTAAATGTAGTTTGTGTTGTGAAAGTTTACCACACAGCCGCTGCTTCTTTCAGAAAGAGACTTTTTTTTTCTCTTTGTCATTCCTGATGGTCCCCATAAGGGTAAACCTGTTTCTCATTCCACTATTTCTCTGTGACTCAGACAGACCATCACTCAAATGTATGGTCTTAAAGACTGGGTGCCACCCTTTCATTCTGATCTACGGTTCACACTGTCTTCGGGGTGTGAGGTCCTTCTTTTTTTTGTTTGTGGACCTGTTAGGGTTTTTTTTTTTGCTGATTCCCACTCCTCTGTTGTACTGCTTTTGTACATCCAAACATTACAAGACTTCCTGTGTACATTCACTGTGTATTGTACTCACTGTAATATCCTTTTCTTGAAGTACATTGAGGCACACAGGCCATCACCACTTTGTGTTTATGATCATGCCCTTGGTATTGCTTTACCCCAAAAATTGAGGCATGCTAGGTGTGGGAGGTGTTATGCAGGGCTGGTCCACAATTTTTGTTTACCAGTATCCAATCCTCCTGTAGGTAGCAGCATTACCTTACAGTACAAGATGTCCTGTGGACCCCAATAAAAGGATTTTACAACAAGTACAATATTTCTATTATTTAGTTCACCAGTTTTATTGAAGAAAGCAGCTCTTTGAGCTCTCCACCCAGTCCTGTGACTAGACACTGCATGAAAGTTTCTGTGCCAACAATCAAAGTGACTATGTTGCTAGATTATACATTTTTAACTAAAAAGGGTCTTCCAGCAAAAAAAACTGTTTAGATACCTGTGCCTCTGATCTCCACTTCCTTGGAGAGCTGAGGTGGATCAAGAATCTTCCCCAGCATCCAACATGTCTAGGTATATGGGATGCCTGGACTCCCTCTATGTTCTGTGCTTCCATCCTTCAGTTATATGTCACCACTGTGTTCTGCTGTGACCTAGGGGTCAATGGACAGAGAAGTAATCATGGTATTAGTGCTACACCACCTAATCTACTTAAGTAATCAATCATTTTCTTTGAAGGGAGACCTTTTTTCTTTAAAGCGTATCTAGAGCCAAAAACTAAATGTAAAATATTGCCGTTTATCAGATAGCTATTTTGTACTTTTAACCCAGCTCACGGGTAATTGTAAGGGCACTGCATTTCTGGCAAGATCAAAAAATCTGTTCTTGCTGTAAATGTTGTTTGAAAAAAGAAAACAAATTCAGCCTCCAAATCTAAGTACTGGTAAGCTCCATTATATTTATCTTTGTTATTGAGTTTATATACAATTTAAAGCGACCTTGTCATAATATTAACGCCTTGGCGCCGGCCGCATACATATGTGCAGCCTCTCCTCACGTGGGCCTTAACGCATATATGTATACCTAGAGATGAACAAAACTGTGCCGAGAGAGCGCACCAAGTGAGCTCCCAGCGCAGTTACCGGCGGCTATCAGAAAGCTTCCAATCTCTATTTGCGATCAGGAGCTTTCAAATCATGTGACCACTGTGACAGCCAATCCCAGTGGTCACATAATCAGAAACTCAGCCTCCCGGCATCTGAAACCCCTTAAAGGACCGAGAGGTGCCGGCACCAAGGGTTAAAACAGTAAAACATGTCCAGCAAAGACCTCTGGAAGTGACAAAATACTCTCTGGTTCCAGTTTCATATACCGTAGAGATGATTAGTGACATTCTGGTCCTCGATCAGCTCTGTGGTAAACCGGCAGATCCACAGGCTTCAGCTCCAGGTTCTCCATTCTCTCTCTGGTGGGCCAGAGAGACCTGGAAAAGGTACCAGAAGGCGGCGGAAGGGAGGGGCGACCCCTCCTGCCGCCTGTAAAAGCTACCCAGCGGCTAATTAGCTGCTTGTATCCCCTTTGCTAAATAGAGAATTGCCTTCAGTTTTAAAAAAAATACCAGGTTGATGATTGCAGCTGCAGACATCAACTTGGTATATGCTTCCGGACAGCTGACATACAATTACGTATTATGGTCTGGAAGTAGCTTCAAGTCTACCAACACAGAAAATTCCGTTTGTAAATGGATAGAAGACTGGCTAAAAGACCGTACTCAGAGAATACAGGTTAATAATTTATACTCTGAATGGTCTAGGGTTGTTAGTGGTGTTCCCCAAAGTTCAGTGGTGGGACCTTTACTTTTTCTTCAATAATTTGTATTTAGTAGTTATGTGAAGGCACAGTAGTACAAGGAGCACCTAGTCCGCCCACGCAAGGGCTATGACTGTTCACCCCCAGGTGAAACAAGTATGCACGAAAAGCATAAAGGAGAGGAAGAACATCCTCCACCAATAGTCATATTAAGCATGAGACACATGTGGGGGCATCAGAGGTGGTCCTGGTGTCAAAACATAGTGGAACAAACCTGGGCATGGATAGAGTCCAGGAGGGTACAGGACCCACAGAAAGGGTAAACAATCGAAAAAAAAAAAAAAAAAAAACAAGGGCAAGAGATAGAGGATCTGGGACTGTCGGAGACACCAGAGCAGCCCACACTTGTCAGAGGAAGATCAGGGAAGGTATACATCCACCACAGTTCCCAGATTTTTAAAAATTTGGCATGGGAGTCATAAAGAATTCTGTTCATGTGTTCATTAAGCATCTGTCCCATAAAAACGGTCCTTCACTCCCTGAAAGGGGACTGTAGGTTTTTTCCATGCCTGGGCAATCATCATCTTGGCTGCTATAAAACAAATAAGATGCCAATTTTTGCTGATGAGCAAGTAGGCACAGGATAAGGCAATGTAACAAGGTGAATTTTTCCTCCTTTCGGATGGTCAGGTAGAACAGAGAATACATGTCCATCAGGTATGTGAGACATTCCCACGATCAGCGGTCAGTTAGGTTAGTGTGGGCAATGCAGGCAGGGACCCAATACCACCTCAGCAACACTTTTTGTGCCGCCTCGATCTCATTTAGCGATAGAAGACGAAGCTTTGCTCCAATCCGACACGTCAATCTCAAATCCCAGGTCTCGTTCCGAGTGAACCACATAGGAGAGCAAAGCATGAGATGATTGATTATTCAGAGACGCATAAAGTCTCTGGAGATGGAGAAGATGAGACCTGGGGAATGTTGACAGGTATGCTCAAATGTAGTTTTCTGAAACTGATAAGGTGAGGTGCGTCGAAGGGAAGATATCCAGTGTTGAAGATGGAGAAATCGGAAATACTCCCGACTAGGGAGCATCATGGGATTCACAGAAGGCCGCCCACATCGGGTGGGGGAGGTGTGATCGGGAGGTCAGAAAGTGTTGCATTTGTGAGAGACCACGAGAGGTCCACCAAGAAATGGTCCAGGGCTAATCAAGGCGAGAGGGTTTTTAGTAATAGGTAGCAAAGGAAGGAAGGGAGACCTAAGGGAGCCTGACTGACACACCCAAAGATGCAAGGTATGTTGCATAAGAGGGCTTAAAGCCACAGGCCACATTTTCTGAGGGAGCCATAAAAGGGTTTAGATCGAGAGTGGGACGCAGTTGGGAAGCTCCAGCAGCACCTATAGGGGTACATCGGAAGAGGCATGTAGCCAGGTCAGTGGGGAAATTTGGGTAGTGTTAAGGTAGTAGTATTTAGAAACATGAGGGACCCCCAATCCCCCTTGTAATCTATGTAAAAAAAAAGGGTAGCCTTGGGGACTCTGGGGCGTTTATTGCCCCAAATAAAGTGTAGAATGTGTTCTGAATCAGGTGGAGGAAATTTTGGGTGCGGAAATACCAGAGCTTAGGTCATCTTTACTGAATTGTTGCAACCTATCCAAGATAGATAGGGGCACCACCATGACTGCATAAGACAAGTCAATGAGTGGAGCAAAGGATAATAATTGGCAGAGAACAAAGAGGAATAGGTGGGGGTCAGTTGAATTCCAAGGTAATTAATAGATGACGTCGCCCAGCAAAATGGGATTGTAGGCGAGTAACCAAAGCCTGATTTAGGGTGACATTCAAGGCCTTGCACTTGGCTAGGTTAACCCGTAGGCCAGAAATAGACAAAAAACACACGTCAAAAAGTGTAGCAAATTAGTAACAGTTGTGAGCGGGTTGGTAAGCATCAAAAGGGCATCATCTGCAAACAGGCTCACTTTGAAATTATGGCCTGCATAAGGGATTCCAGTAACATTTTGGTCACCATGAAGCAAGCTTGCCAAAGCTCTAGTGGTAAAATAAATAATGCTGGGGACAGGGGGTAACCCTGTCTTCTGCCGCTATGGATGGGGAAAGGCGCTGAAAGATACCCAGAGTATTTAGCCGATAATGTAGGTCATGGGTAGGCAACCTTTGAGAGGTGGAGATCTACCTGAACAACATGAAAGAGATCAAAGATCACCAGTGTTCAGCGCCATTTAAAAAAAAAAAAAAAATTAACTAGCTAGACCTAACAAAATAGTAAGGAAAATGTAGAAATAATTAAATAAAACAAATGCCACTGTAAAAATACAAACTTAGCCTACTTTAAAAATGGACAGTGTCAGTCACTAGGGCAGTGAACAATGTCAGTCAGCAGGGCAGTGAACGGTGTCTGTAGGGCAGAGGTTGATGTCAGTCAGTAGAGCAGTGGATGGTGTCAGTCACTAGGGCAGTGAACAATGTCAGTCAGCAGGGCAGAGGCTGGTGTCAGTAGGGCAGTGGATGGTGTCATTTTTTATTTTTACAATTTTTTTTATATTTTTCACAAATTTTTTTAGGAGCCCTGTTGAAAGGGAAGTACTTGGGGGAAGGCTGGGCAGCAGAAAAAAGGAGGAATGAGGATGGGAGGAGCAGCGGGGGGAGGTGTTTACTAGAACGGATCCCCTGGATTTTCCTCCTACAGCAGCTGTACACTGGTGGGAGGGCGAGGAGGAGATGCTAGCTTTCAGCTCCTCCAGGAGGACAATAAAGGGGATCGTTGGAAAGCAGGTATTTTAAAAATCTGAATTCCCAGCAAGTGGCTGAGAATTGGGATTTTCTACCTCCCAGCTACCCTGGTGCCTAAGGCGGCTGCCTAAGCAAGGGGGGGAATTCAGATTTAAAATACTGGGAGGGAAGGGGGTGGGGGACACACTGCAGGTGGAGGGAAGGGGGGCTAGAGGTCACTGCTATGGGGGAAAGGGGAGGGACAGAGGACACTACTGGGGGGTGGGGGGGGTGTGAAGGGGGCAGAGGACACTACGGGGGGGGGGGGGGTTATGAAGGGCGGCAGAGGACACTGCTATCACTGCTATGGGGTTGGCCCTGCCTATAGCAGTGTCCTCTGCATATCACCCCAGCCCCCCCCCCCCCCCCCAGTAGTGTCCTCTGCCCCCTCTTTCCCCCATAGTGGTGAGCTCTGCAGCAATCAATGTCCCCCCCCAACACCAGGAAATTTCCTCTGCCTCCACCCCTCCCCCCCCCCATCCCAAGCAATGTCCTCTGTACCCCCCCCCCCCCCTTCCCTCCCATGGTGTCCCCACAAGCAGTATCCTACCTCTGTACAGAAAAGTGTGGAAGGCAGCACAGTTCTGGACTGACGGTGCCTTCCCCCAGTTTCTTCCGCTGCTGCTGTCATCCTCAGTGCACAGTGGAGAGCAGAAGGCAGCACAGCTCAAGACTGAGGGCTGAAGGTGGAGCTGGCCAAATTAACTTTTTATGTCTGGAGGAAAAGAGTTTTACCTCCACATATGGAAAGGTTTCTTCACAGTAGAAGCTGTGAAACTGTAGAATAGACTGCTTCAAGAACTAGTTCTGGCCAGCTCAGTTGATTGTTTTAAAAAAGAGCTGGATGCATTGCTAAATGCACAAAATATAACTGGATATTAATATTTAGAGGTAATAACACCAGAGGTAATTGATCCAGGGAATATCTGATTGCCTCTTGGGGGATCAAGAAGGATTTTTTTCCCTGCAGGAGCAAATTGGATCATGCTTCCCTGAGTTTTTTCCCTGTTTCCTCTGGATTAGCTGTGTGAATAGGATAGTGTATATGGAGATTTTTTTATTTGTGTTTTTTTTTATTTGATTGAGCTAGATGGACTTGTGCCTTTTTCAGCCTGACTATATGAGAAGCCAATTAGCTTTAGCTTCGTATTTAACTATAATTTTCCAGTTAATATTTTATAAGTGTACATTTCAATCTGGTTGGTGGCCAGTAGTTGCCCCAGTCAGTTCATTCATCAGACAAGACTTACTGTATGTCTGAAATCTAAAATGTGGATAGTGCGACATCTAGTGGCATGTGTAGAAAATAGATAATGTAAAAAGGTTTTTTTTTCATTTTTAATCTTCTCCTTCCTTGTGACATGTTTGTGGCAGTGGAACCAGAGGAATGTTTTCCCCTCCACCTGTGAATAGACAGAAGATAGGCATAAGACCCCTCAGCCTTTAACTATGTTTCTATGTACATATAAAACTAGAACATTATTAATTTTTTGTTTAATGATGTTTTGTTTCAGGTCAGCAGGTCAAAAGGTACAAGATTGCTACTTTTACCAAATCTTCATGGATAAAAAATGAGAATGTGGGGGTTCCCACTATACAGCAGCTACTGGAGTGGTCATTTATAAACAGCAATCTGAAGTTTGCAGAGGTGAAACACAAATTCTTGCTTTTCTTTTCTTGCTACATATTTATGCAGGTTCCAATATATAAAGAGAGAGCACAAGTGGGCTGCAACATCCCAATATTCTTTACTAAACAATCTTCAGCAAAATAGCATATCCAGAACTGCACTCGAGCTTTACATTAGTCTTGGTGTGCACCTCTGCAATAATTTAAGAGGCCCTACAATTTCTAGCAAGATCACCAGTGCAGATCATTGTGCTGAAACAAACCCCCAAATGAATCTATTTGGCTTACAAGAGCAAGGGGTCTTTTCCATGCTTGAACTGTACAGTTGCAAGAAAAAGTATGTGAACCCCTTGGGATTACGTGGAGTTTTGCATGAATTGGGCATAAAATGTGCTCTGAACGTCATCTAAGTCACAACAATAGAAGAACACAGTCTGCTGAACATAATACTACACAAAACATTAGATGTTGCCATGGTTTAATTGCACATAACATGTAAACATTCACAGTGCAGGGAGGAAAAAGTATGTGAGGCCCTAGCTTAATGACTTCTCCCAGAGCTAATTGGAGCCAGGAGTGAGCCAACCTTGACACCACTCAGTGTAAAAATGACTGCAAGAGCACAGCGCAGAATGCTGCATGAGGTAAAGAAGAATCCCAGAGTGTCAGCTAAAGACTTACAGAAATCTCTGGCACATGCTAACATTTTTGTTGACACATCTACAATAAGGAAAACATTAAACAAGAATGGAGTACATGGGAGGACACCACGGAGGAAGCCATTGCTGTCCAAAAAGAATATTGCAGCACGTTTGAAGTTTGCAAAAGAGCACCTGGATGTTCCACAGCACTACTGGCAAAATATACTGTGGACAGATGAAACCAAGATTGAGTTGTTTGGGAAGAACACACAACACTATGTGTGGAGAAAAAATGGCATAGCACACCAACATCAAAACCTCATCCCCACTGTAAAACACGGCGGAGGGAGCATCATGGTTTGGGGCTGCTTTGCTGCCTCAGGGCCTGGACAGATTGTTGTCATTGATGGGAAAATGAATTCCAGAGTTTATCAAGACATTTTGCAGGAAAACGTACGACCATCTGTCCGCCAACTGAAGCTCTGCAGAGGATGGGTGATGCAACAGGACAATGACCCAAAGCATACAAGTAATTCAACAAAACAATGGCTGCAACAGCACAGAATACGCCTTCTGGAGTGGCCCAGTCAGAGTCCTGACCTCAACCCGATAGAAATGCTGTGGCATGACCTTAAGAGATCGATTCACACCAGACATCCCAAGAATATTGCTACACTGAAACAGTTTTGTGAAGAGGAGTGGTCCAAAATTACTCCAGATCGTTGTGCAGGTCTGATCTGCAACTACAGGAAACGTTTGGTTGAGGTTATTGCTGCCAAAGGAGGGTCAACCAGTTATTAAGTCCAAAGGTTTACATACTTTTTCCTCCCTGCACTGTGAATGTTTACATGTTATGTGCAATGAAATCATGGCAACATCTAATGTTTGTGTAGTATTATGTTCAGCAGACTGTGTTCTTCTATTGTGACTTAGATGATGTTCAGAGCACATTTTATGCCCAATTCATGCAAAACTCCACGTAATCCCAAGGGGTTCACATACCTTTTCTTGCAACTGTATGCATTGCTCTAACATGGTAGAGGTTTTAACCATACACTTAGGGAGCACCAGATTTATATTACTGGGTATTGCACATGTCGGACTGCATAGGTACAGTGGATCTATAGAATGTACACTGTAAAACATAGAAGTCTAAATGTAGACTTTGATCTATATTTTTTAATTTTTACAAAGTTTAAAGTGTACAGTTGTCTAAAATACTTTAAATGCGGTGGAATATTGAACTCAATCATTTGGAGGGTTGTGCACATACAGTCAGGCCCATAAATATTGGGACATCGACACAATTCTAACATTTTTGGCTCTATACACCACCACAATGGATTTGAAATAAAACGAACAAGCTGTGCTTTAACTGCAGACTGTCAGCTTTAATTTGAGGGTATTTACATCCACATTAGGTGAACGGTGTAGGAATTATAACAGTTTGCATATGTGCCTCCCACTTGTTAAGGGACCAAAAGTAATGGGACAATTGGCGTCTCAGCTGTTCCATGGCCAGGTGTGTGTTATTCCCTCATTATCCCAATTACAATGAGCAGATAAAAGGTCCAGAGTTCATTTCAAGTGTGCTATTTGCATTTGGAATCTGTTGCTGTCAACTCTCAAGATGAGATCCAAAGAGCTGTCACTATCAGTGAAGCAAGCCATCATTAGGCTGAAAAAACAAAACAAACCCATCAGAGAGATAGCAAAAACATTAGGCGTGGCCAAAACAACTGTTTGGTACATTCTTAAAAAGAAGGAAAGCACCGGTGAGCTCAGCAACACCAAAAGACCCGGAAGACCACGGAAAACAACTGTGGTGGATGTCTGAAGAATTCTTTCCCTGGTGAAGAAAACACCCTTCACAACAGTTGGCCAAATCAAGAACACTCTCCAGGAGGTAGGTGTATGTGTGTCAAAGTCAACAATCAAGAGAAGACTTCACCAGAGTGAATACAGAGGGTTCACCACAAGATGTAAACCATTTGTGAGCCTCAAAAACAGGAAGGCCAGATTAGAGTTTGCCAAACGACATCTAAAAAAGCCTTCACAGTTCTGGAACAACATCCTATGGACAGATGAGACCAAGATCAACTTGTACCAGAGTGATGGGAAGAGAGAGTATGGAGAAGGAAAGGAACTGCTCATGATCCTAAGCATACCACCTCATCAGTGAAGCATGGTGGTGGTAGTGTCATGGCGTGGGCATGTATGGCTGCCAATGGAACTGGTTCTCTTGTATTTATTGATGATGTGACTGCTGACAAAAGCAGCAGGATGAATTCTGAAGTGTTTCGGGCAATATTATCTGCTCATATTCAGCCAAATGCTTCACAACTCATTGGACGCCGCTTCACAGTGCAGATGGACAATGACCCAAAGCATACTGCAAAAGCAACCAAAGAGTTTTTTAAGGGAAAGAAGTGGAATGTTATGCAATGGCCAAGTCAATCACCTGACCTGAATCCGATTGAGCATGCATTTCACTTGCTGAAGACAAAACTGTAGGGAAAATGCCCCAAGAACAAGAAGGAACTGAAGACAGTTGCAGTAGAGGCCTGGCAGAGCATCACCAGGGATGAAACCCAGCGTCTGCTGATGTCTATGCGTTCCAGACTTCAGGCTGTAATTGACTGCAAAGGATTTGCAACCAAGTATTAAAAAGTGAAAGTTTGATTTATGATTATTATTCTGTCCCATTACTTTTGGTCACTTAACAAGTGGGAGGCACATATGCAAACTGTTGTAATTCCTACACCGTTCACCTGATTTGGATGTAAATACCCTCAAATTAAAGCTGACAGTCTGCAGTTAAAGGACATCTTGTTCGTTTCATTTCAAATCCATTGTGGTGGTGTATAGAGCCAAAATTGTTAGAATTGTGTCGATGTCCCAATATTTATGGACCTGACTGTACTTCTGGCCATATAGTGTGGATCTTTATAGGAGTCAGTTTTATCTAGTTTTATTTGTCCTTTCATTTGATATTGTTTATGAAATGTATTCCTTGTTTAATAGGCACCATCATGCCTAATAGTTCAGATGCCTCGATTTGGAAAAGACTTCAAGATGTTCAACAAAATATTTCCTTCCTTGGATCTGAATATTACAGACTTACTGGAGGACAGTGAGTAACAGAAATTTTCTTACACACACTTTATTCTTTAAAGTGAAACTGTAACTGCTTGAAGTGGTTGTAAACCTCAGATATGAAATATGAACAAAGCATATCCCTTTTTGATGTGTACTTGTCCCAATTAAGAGCATTCAAGTGTTACTAAACCCACAACAGTAAAATCAGTTTGTATGCAGTAAAGCATGCTTGTTTTACTCACTCTGGAACCTAAGGGGTTAATCCTCTGCATTGTGTAAAAAGGCTGTTTGATCCTGTTTTCTCTGCTCCTCCTCTTGTTCAGATGTCCAGGTCTTTTCTCCTGATAAGACAGACTGAACCCATAGCCCTTCTGAACATGCTCAGTTTAGTGTGTATTGCTAGAGAGTTTTTTTTTTTGGGAGAGTGCATGTGATCAGTACTGTCCAGACAGAGGTCGGGGTTTTGCATCCTCCTAGAGCAGAAAGAAAACTCCTACAAGCTTTAACCAGTGCTCTGCTTAAGTCACAAGATTACTATATATTACTGATGAGAAAAGGTATTTAGCAATTTATATTTACTAAAATAATTGCATTTCCATGTTGTGTGTACTGTGGGAGACCAGATTTAGTGAATGCAGGGTCCTGGGTTTAGTAACACATTAAATGTAATTTCTGTCTGCTGCTGCTTCGTTCTTCTGTTATCACTTCTGACAGGTTTTCCTGACACTAAGAGAAAAAAGGTGATGGGATGAGCACCAGCATACAGCCTGTGATTGACAGCCTCAATTCTATTCTTGTGTGCTGTGTGAAGGGGGGTGTTTCCCTTCTCTTCATACACCTCTCTTCATTACCCGAGCCCCGTCACTTCATTGGGTATATGTAAAGGTTTGCAACTACTTTAAAATATAGCTGTGAGGATAGAAAAGGTCAGTTTTTCACTAGATAGTCAATCAATAGTCAGAATTATAGCCCTGGTGTCTTTGACTTTAAAAACAGTCCGCGATAACAAATCCCTATCTCTATATCTCTGGGTTCAGTGTACTTTAGAATACTTAGTGTCTAATTGTTTATTAGGCTAGGTTCACACTATTGTGACTCTGAGAGCCATGTTTGCTCGGGCACGGCGGTCCATTCCTCTGAAAGGGGCCGTGCCTGTGTTTCATGCAGGAAAAAGGTTCCTGCACCATTTTAAAAACACAAAGGCAGGGAAAGTGCACGCTGCTTTTGCACCATGCGATTTCCCAGTGTTCCCTGCGCCCACAAACTCGCATTATAGAAGCATGGGGGTGCCATTAGGAATGAATGGAAGCCTCTTGCGTCTGCAGAGGGCAGCGCGTTTTGGTTGCAGGTGCAGAAACAGGTGCGATTCTTGTACCCGCAACCACTCGTATAAGTGTGAACCTAGCCTTCGTATCAGGAAAAAAATGTAAATGTTTTTTTAAGAAGGTAAATATTTGAAATATTGCAGGGGAATATTTTAAAGGCCTCTTATCCAACCAGCATATGAAACCTCTAGGCTCCTTTCATTGATTTATTCATATGCTAGTTGTTTAATGAAACTGATCAGATAAACAAATAGAGAAGGGGAACTTTCTCCACAAAACTGGATGAAACAACGAATCATGCTTTTTCAGGCCGCTCAGTCAGAGGAGTGGATGAAAGACAGCTGAGCCTAAAAGGGAGCTACGTCCTTTCTCTTTAGCTAACCAGTAGTGTTTGGCAGTCTTATGTTATAGCGTAAAAGTTTATTCCTAAAACAAAGATTGTATCCTTGTAGTAAAATGCAGAAATTAAAGATACACTATATTGCTAAAACTATTGGGAAGCCTGTCTTTCCACACACATAAACATTAATGGCATCCCAGACTTAGTCTGTAGGGTTCAATATTGAGTTGGCCCATCCTTTGCAGCTATAACAGCTTCAATTATTCTGGGAAGACTGTCCACAAGGTTTAGGAGTGTCTATGGGAATGTTTGACCATTCTTCCAGAAGCACATTTGTGAGGTCAAGCACTGATGTCAGACGAGAAGGCCGGGCTCGCAGTCTCTGCTCTAATTCATCCCAAAGGTGTTCTATCAGGTTGAGGTCAGGACCAAACCCGCTCATCCATGTCTATATGGACCTTGCTTTGTGCACTGGTGCGCAGTCATGTTGGAACGGGAAGGGGCCATCCCCAAACTGTTCCCACAAAGTTGGGAGGTCTTTAGTTTTGACTCTGCAGACAGTTGGCGACTTCTGTGCACTGTGCCCTTCAGCACGTGCTGACCCCGCTCTGTCATGTGGCCTTCCACTTTGTTATAATACCACTAACAGTTGACCGTGGAATATTTAGTAGCAAGGAAATTTTATGGATGGACTTATTGCACAGGTGGCAACCTATTACTGTGCCACGCTTGAATTCACTGAGCTCCTGAGAGTGGCCCATTCTTTCATGAATGTTTGTAGAAGTAGTCTGCATGCCTAGGTGCTTGGTTGTATACACCTGTGGCCATGGAGGTGATTGGAACACCTGAATCCAATGATTCCTGCCCATATGATTGCTAATATCAATGTATTTCATTGATATTTGCAATCGTTACTGAATAAAACTGATTCATTCAGCTGATTTTGTTGTGATTAGCTGTGATTGGGAAAGGCTCATCATATGACACAGATGGGCTGTGATTGGTCCTGTCTGTATCATGTGACTGCTTTGACCAGTCACAGCTAATAACATAATTGTATACAATGGATGACATGACAGGAAGCCATCCATTGTATACAATTGACGTGATCTGCTGTGATTGGTCACATGACACTGGCAATGGGCTGGTGTAGTGATATGTCATCAGCTGTATCCTGTGGACACAGTCTGTGACAGATCGTGCCACTGCGCGGCTCTGTGAGCGACTCGTTTTGACAGGACATCATATGACACCTATTCACAGCGAGAAGTGTCCCGCCCGCCCGTCAATCTGCTATAGGCCGAGTGGGAAGGTGTTAATAGCAAATAGTCAAAAATATTGGGTTTTTTTTCTCAAAATTGTCGGTCTTTTTTTATAGTGCAAAAAATAAATGCACAGGTGATCAAATACCACCGAAATAAAGCTCAATTGGAAAAAAAGACGTAAAAATTGCATTTGAGTGCAGCGTTGCTTGACCGTGCAATTGTCAGTTAAAGTAACACAGCGCCGTAACGCATAAAATGGCCTGGTCAGGAAGGGAGGTAAATCCTCAGGAGGGCAAGTGGTTAAGGTGTTATGTGTTTACTATCTTCTCCCATTGTGTGCCTCCTAGGTGTGCATTCCCATTGTTAATTGAGTTAATTGAGTCCCCTATTGTTTGTTGGGAAGTCCTTCTGGAGGTTCCTGCATGATAAGATTAGACTGATGTCAACTTCACTTTGTTATGTAATCATTGTGTAATATTTGTTTTATTGTTCATGAGGGGATGGGCTCTATTTGTGGAGTGTATACAAACCTGTGTTTTCTACTCAATAAAGAGTTCCAGTTTGGCATCGAAGCTAGTCTTGTCTAGACTTGGGTGCAATGCCCAGCTATAATATCTTGGTCCTGTGTCCCAGTGAGAAGGAAGCGGTTCTCTGACGGAATCACCAATCTGGGTGACAGATGTTCCGTCCCAAATAATATGAATTGCCAAATTCAGAAGCAGGTAGCCTATACATACTTTTATGTGCAGTGTAGAGAGGACATGTCTCCAGAACAGGAATGATGACAAAGCATTAGATGTCCTTCTTGTTGTGCATTCTGCTTTTCCACAACTGCATGTTTGGATTTTATAGAATGGGGGGTTGGGCTTTTTCTGGAAATGTATGCAATGGCTGCTAGTTTGTGATTAAGCAAATGCAGTGCAACATGGCATATATAATATATTAATACCCCAGACTCCTGTGCTTGCTCCCCTGCACAGCCCCTGTGAGACCAGGGGGTTTATTTACTAAAGCTGGAGAGTCCAAAATCAGACTCCCTTCTGCATAGAAACCAATCAGCTTCTAACCTCAGCTTGTTCAATGAAGCTTTGGCAATGAAACCTGGAAGCTGATTGGTTTCTATGCAGAAGGGAGTCTGATTTTGGACTTTCCAGCTTTAGTAAAAAAAAACCATGTGTCTGTAGAAAGAAGAGATCCCAATTCTATGACTGGCAGCCAGTCTGAAGCTTAGTCATTGAATGACCACTGTGACAGCCAATCACAGTGATAATTCAGTGTAATATTGTTAAACAATAACAAAAGTAACACAGTACTTGTCTTATCTCCACAGTTCCCTGACAGACAGATTTGTGATTGAGAAAGCTGCAGCTAACACAGAAGAATGTTTGTTCTGTGCAAAGCAAATTTGTGAACCCTAATTAACCTGGACATGCTCTTATTTAACCTTTTATTTTACTATTTAACCCATTCATTTCATTAGATCATCCTGTAATAAGCAATATTTGTAACAGTTTCATCTCCAGTTCCATGTTTCCATTTTAAATTGTTTAACCACCTTGCGCCCGCCCTATAGTACAATGACGGGCGCAAGGTGGTTCTCTCGTTCTGATTGGACGTCATATGACGTCCTACCATTCTCACTGCGCATGCGCGGCTCGGAGCGTGCAGCGCGGTGATCGCCGGTGCGCTATTTCCTTCGGACACAGCGGATCACGGAAAGAGCCAAAGATGTCGGCTCGGTCATGTGATCAGCTGTGTCCAATCACAGCTGATCACATGTAAACACGGAAATGCTGGTTATCGTCATTTCCCTCCTCTCGTGCTGTCACGCTGACAGCTCCAGAGGAGAGGAGAGCCGGTAATCGGCTTTCTGCAGAGGGGACATGTACACTGATCATCAGGGCACTGATGATCAGTGTGCCCTGATAATCAGTGTGGCCCCAGAAGTGCCACCCGTCAGTGCGCATCAGTGCCACCTGTCAGTGCCCATCAGTGCCACGTGCCAGTGCCCATCAGTGCCACATCAATGCCACATATCAGTGCATACCAGTGCACATCAATGCCACATATCAGTACCCATCTGAGCTGCCTTTCAATGCCACCC